TTTTTTTTTTTAGTGAAGTACAGTCAATTACAGTGTGTCAATCTCTGGTGTACAGCACAATGTCCCAATCAAACATATACATACATATATTCATTTTCATATTTTTTCCATTAAAGGTTATTATAAGATACTGAACATAGTTCTCTGTGCTATAGAAAAGAAACTTCAAAAAAACTTCTATTCTTATGTATAGTGGCCAACATTTGTATATCTCTAACTCCGAAGTTTATCCCCTCCCACCTGCTTTCCCCAGTAACCATAAGATTGTTTACTAAGTCTGGGAGTCTGTTTCTGTTCTGTAGATGAGTTCATAGTGTCCTTTCTTTTTTTAAATTTTAGATTCCACATATAAGTGATAGCATATGCTATTTCTCTTTCTCTTTCTCATTCATTTAGAATGATGATCTCTAGGTCTATCCATGTTGCTGCAAATGGTATTATTTTATTCTTTTTGTGGCAGAGTAGTATTCCATTGTATAGATATACCACAACTTCTTTATCCAGTCATCTGTTGATGGACATTTAGGTTGCTTCCATGTCTTGGCTATTGTATATAGTGCTTCTATGAACATTGGGATGCATGTATCTTTTCCCATTAGAATTCCTTCCAGATATGTATCCAGAAGTGGGATTGCTGGATCATATGTAAGTCTGTTTTCAGTTTTTTGACGAATCTTCATACTGTTTTCCATAATGGCTGCACCAAACTACATTCCCACCAACAGTGTAGGAGGGTTCCCTTTTCTCCACACCCTCTCTAGTATTTATTGTTCACAGACTTTTGAATGATGGCCATTCTGACTGGTGGGAGGTGATATCTCATTGTAGTTTTGATTTGCATTTCTCTGATAATTAGTGATACTGAGCATTTTTCATGTCTATTGGCCATTTGTATATCTTCATTGAAGAAATGCTTGTGTAGGTCTTCTCCCCATTTTTGGATTGGGTTTTTTTGTTTTGTTAAGTTGTATGAGCTGTTTATATATTCTGGAAATTAAGCCTTTGTCAGTTGCATCACTTGCAAATATTTTCTCCCATTCCGTAGGTTGTTGTTTTGCTTATAGTTTCCTTTGCAAAAGCTTATGAGTTTAATTAGGTCCCATTTGTTTATTTTTGCTCTTATTTCTGTTGCCTGAGTAGACTGCTATAGGAGAACATTGCTAAGATTTTTGTCAGAGAATATTTTGCCTATGTTTTCTTCTAGGAGATATATTGCCTCTTACAGACTTACTTTTTAATAGTGTATGTATTTTCTCATCAGTTTTCCATTTAAACGTATTTGTAAATTGCTTACTCTAAGTATTAAATTTTGCAGAGCCTTTACAGTTATAATGTGGGACACAGTCCTTTGAAATTGTTCTCCATTTCTGCAGAATTTATATTTTATGTACTGTACATATAAGCTTACGAAGATTTATTATGATTACAAATTCATATGGAATACAGAGTATATACTTATTAAATTTCTCCGCATACTGTTGACAACTGAAATAAATGCACAGTCTAAAAGTTGAGAGTTATGTTTTATTTGGCGGACATTTCTGAGGACTCAAACCCCTTCGAGCTGGGGATGACAGACTCTCAGATCACTCTGAGGGAATGCTCTGAAGAGGTAGGGGAGGAGCTAGGATATATAGGAGTTTTATAACAAAGACCAGGTAGTCAGAACATTAAGGATTACTGTTAAAGAAGACCAGACATCTCAAGTTAAAGAATTTAGCACTTTTCTTTGGGAAGAAGCAAACTTCTGGGCTCATTGAAATCATTCCTTTGACAAGCACCTAGCTATCTAGGGCCAGTATCTGTCCTTTCTTATTCTGAATCCCCTCAGGGTGCACCATTGTGAGTGGCTGCAGAGGCCGGGCTGCCTGCTTATCTTCACTGTGGGGGGTGGCAGCAGCAGCTGATGAATTGATGGCTTCAGCAATCTTTGTTCCTGATATGGCTTGCAGTATTTTTTGTTCACCCTGTTCTTACAAAATACTTAAGGCAGTATTGCCATTTACACTTTTTAGCTTCCTTGGTTCTCAAATTCTACTTTCCTATACGCTGAGGGTGCAAAATTGTGAAGTTTAAATTTATAACTTAAATGTCATGATCAAAAACATTTTTTATTGTGCAGGGTCTTAGGAATGAAATTGCACCATGGATTTAAAGTCCAGACAAATTATTAACACAGAGAAGTATCTGGACAGGACCGGATGTAACGACATGCTTTTAACACTGTGCCAGCCCTCTCAACAGCAGCACTACAATATCTGGGGATGGATGATGCTGTCTTCGAAGGGTGCTATTCTGGGCATATGAAGCCAGCATCAGTGGCCTCTGTACTCCAGGTGCCACTACTACTCTCCCTTCAGTTGTGACAACAAAACATCTCTAGATCCTGACAAATAGCCCCTGAGGGAGCAAAACCACCATCATTTGTTAGAATTTCAGAATTATTTTTTGACAGGGTAGTTTGGTGCTAGAAATGCTGGCTCAAAGCCCTTGTGGGCCCTGCACCCACTGCCACCTGTCATTTCTGCGGAGGCATTCCAGATTATTTATGCTTATGATTCGAGATCATTGTTGTTTTTCTCACTTCCATAGGTTCAAGCATATTTTCATTTAAATCTTGAACGACAAGAGTAAGGCTGTGGGCCAACTCTATACACAGCCCAAAACCCTCAAAATAAAAGTGGATATGAAATCACAGACATTTTACTGAAAAATTGCTAAGTAATAAAAACAAAAACCTTAAGCTCAATAGAAAGAGGATTTCTAAGCAGAAATTGTAGTTTGTAGATAACTGGGGTAATCCTAAAAGAATTAATGTTTTCATTTTTCTGGGCAGTTAAAAACAATTTCATTTATTCATATTTCAGCATCTCCAGGAAATACTGGCTACCCTGCCCCTCAGGCTGGCAATCCTGAAACACAGGCTGAATATCCAGCTTCCCAGGCTGGCAATTCTGAAACCCAGGCTGAGTATCCTGACTCCCAGGCTGGCTATCCTGAAAAACAAGCTAAATATTTTGCCTCCCAGGCTGAATATCCTG